ATTCTTCTGTTCTTTGTTTACCATCAGACGAGCAACTTTTTCCCATACGGATGGAGAAACCCAAGGCCATGCTCCTATTAATACAAGAATTTGTATTAGCATGAAAACAACAAGCCACTGGCTGAACTGCAAGGGCCAAAAAACTTCATATATTTGCAAAGACACGAGCTCCCCATATTTAACRAATAGTGTGTTTTGTGTTTCCTCGCTGCCAGGAAACCGCGTGGCCTCTCACCTGCTCCGGGGAGGCTCGGCCAGGTCTGCGCTGGAGCCTTGACCTCCATCCGGCCGAGATCTCAGTCCGTGGTTCCAACATGTCCCTCTGAGCTGCTACATCTCTTCACCATCAGCCTTTGAGAGAAAAATCAGGTCTCTGTTTGAACCCCCTCTCCCATCCCCAGGCATCCATACCTAGGAATTTGAGTTTGACTGTTGCAGAGTTAGAAAGTTCGAGCTTATCCTTCTCATTCAGGCTCTGTATGGTTTGAGGCAGATGCCTTTATATAGTGGTAGCTGTAAATCAGGATTATCTCATCACTGAATGTATRTTTTTCAGTTCTGTGCTATTGTGCTCTGTTATTGTGATCCTAAAGGAACGATGGGATGGAAGAGGCWGGCCTGAACCTGCCCGTCCAGCGCCAGAAAGCGTGGGCAGGTGCTGAGAGGCTTTGGGAAGGAGGAGGAAACTGTGGGGAGATGACGGTGAGAGGTGAGTCTCTGAACACCCCGTCACAGCTTTTAGTCACAGCTTTTAGACCAGGCCCAGCTGCAAATCCTGCAGGGACATTTATACCCTGCCATAACTTCCTTGTATTCTGGCATTATGTCCTTGTCCTCTGTGAGTAACTTGCAAATGCCCCAGCYTATGGGCTGAACTCTTGGCCAGTGTATTGCAATACATAGCAGTTCAGGAGGTGGGCTGCCTGCAGCTCTTTTCACCAGTGGTGTGAAATGCTCCTTTAGATCTGCACTTGTGAATGCAGGTGCAATAACCCAAAAGAGCAARAAGTTCCTTTTCTAATGAAATAAACACAGAGTACCTCCAGTCTTTGCCCCAGAATTTCCATTGCATTTTCATTTTCTTCCAACAGGGATGGACATGAACATTTAAAATAAGAAAATCTCCTTCTCTGTGTGCTTAGGGCACTGACTGGGGCAGGATGGCAGTGATGTCCTCCATCTCTCGTGCACAGGAGCAGATCTGGGCCCCATGTGCAGGAGCCAACACGGGCCCAGGCTGCAGCTGTGGCCTTGCAGCCCAGCTGTGCCCTGGGCACCTGAGCATAAAGCCCATCCTGGGTGCCCTGCAAGGCTCCTGCTCCCCCACGTGACCTTCTCCAGCAGCACCTGGGTAAATCCCGGCCCCTTCGGCTTTAATAATGTTCCTTTGAGGCACAGGGACTCCTTGGCAAGATGGGAGAGAAGGAGTAAGAAAAGAGCAGAGGGAAATTAAAATGGTGTGGGAATGCTGAGCAGAGGGCCCATTGCACCTTGGTTTAACACAAGCCAACACACCCACTAAAGCTAGGCGAAAACAGCAAACATTTATTTGTGCATCTCCTTGCATAAATAAAGCCCTGCTGATTTGCTTTGATGGCATTTACGACCACATTTATTCATAAACATTAGAGTGAGCAAGTTTTTATTTGCAGGAGCGTTGGCAGAAAACAAAAGCGTCGTGAATTCTGGTGTGAATAAATATCAGGAAGCTCTCACACGAGAAGGGCTCCCGCAGTCATTAAGCAGAGCTCTTTTTACTATTCACACCGTGCATTCAGACAATTACAGCTGCCCGTGAACTGCTTACAAACAGGGAAGGGAACTGTTTATAGAGCTCAGTTCATCCAATTAGGCACCAGAAACATCTCAGGAAGATACCTGTCATATGGTCAAATGGGGAGCTCGAAAGGCTCCCTGCTCACTCACTCCAAAGCCTGTTTCCCGCTTCCGGCAGCACAGTTAGGATACCTGCTTTTTAAGACCCCCCCCCCTTACATGTAGCGTCATGGCCTAAGGTGGTAGCTCGCTGGCACTGCTAGATGGCAGCTGTAGGTGAACCCTGGGCCACAAGACTGTTTAACGTCAGTCGTTACTAGCCACGGGAGCAAACAAACCCCTTTCCTCAACAGCCACTGCAGAAGCCGCCGGCTCAAGAGTCATCGGGGGCAAAGGCCTCCTGCCACCATCACAGCTCCGGGAACCAGCGCCACGCAGGTCACTCAGCGCTGCGAGGTCTCCGGCCGCTGCCCAGCCCTGCTCRGAGGTGGGAAGTCCTCAGCAACCAGCCGCTGTCCTCAGCGAGGTCTGCAGGGAAGGTAGGTCCCGGCCCATGGGYGTTTTTAAATCGATTTGGGCTTGAAATGATCATGGCCACAAACCTGGAGCCAGGGGCCAGGATGACGTGGCGGGCTGGTTTTCCCAGCGAGCAGCAGCCCAGGCCTCCTCTCACTGTGAAAAAGAAGATATTCTAGCCAGTATCTTGGCTAGAAGGGGAAGATGGGTCCCCAGTTAAATATTTAGTGTCCGGGTGTTTACAGACATGCAAGAGGGTTCCTTCTAAGGGAAAAGGAAGCATCAGAAAAGGTAAAGGTTATTAGGAATGAAGAGGTGCCCTCCTGTTACTGGTGCTGGTGGGAAGCGAGGTGCCAGGCAGTGATTTGTGGGCATCCTTCRGGCGAACAGGCCACTGCTGGGTGTGTGAGTAACTAATGCTCCCTTGGTTTGTGTTTGAAGGCGACAGCAGCAACAGCAATGACACAAATTAATTGCAGAGTTTTCAGGAGATAATGCAGAYGAGGTAAAGAGAATTACTCTGCGATTAACATAGTTTCCAATTAAAGTCCCCTGTAGTTACTGAAAAACATTAATTTCTAGTAACTTGGTAATTTAACTGGTGTCACCACTCAGCACTGGGGCAACGCATCTGTTGTGTAGTATGAGAAACATTAAAAAAATCTAGAAATAGCTATTAGTTTTTAATAACTATTTGTAGAAGGCTTCAAATAGAACACTACTGTGGTAAACTAAGAGATTTGGTAACAGATTTAAGGGCTGAGCAGCGTCAGCTGCTCTAGCACCGAAGAGTGCTAGAATATCGTTGCCCAGATTCAAAACGGAGAAAGAAAAAACCCTAGCAAGGGTGTTTCAGCCCTGATGTGTCTTTATGAGCAAGTTACAGCAAGACTGAGACAAATGAAACTACTTCTCCCTTGCAGGTAAGTTTGCTGTTGGGAAGGCCGGACTACATTTTTCTTTTCAACACTTAYGTACTATAACTCGTTTATTTCCATGTAACCCTTTCTGGTAGAGGAATGCCAAACCAAAAGACTTTCACATAGCAGTGTGTTTCAAGGGGTGGAGTGAGCATTTGGCATATGGGCTTCTCCAAGCTACTTTAGCTTCCAACAGTAGCATTCCAGAAGACTAAATCTTCAGTTACTACCTGAAGTTACAAGTGCTGCAATGAAAGGTGCCCCTTCTGTGCTTGCAAGTGTTTAGTAGATGAGCAGGTACCAAGGAACAGACACAGAAAACTTACAGTGTTAGGAGCCCAGAGCAATTCACGTCAGTCTGAGGACACAGCCTAACCTCTCTGTCATCACCAYGTAGAGTCATTATCACTTTCATCACGTGTATGTTCAGGAAAATGCAGTGTTTGAATGGCTTGTTTCCAACTGCGGAGCCACCCGGCGACCAGTGCTGGGGTCCCTCCTTGGGCGCTGCCTGGGACACTGCGAGGGRTGAAGGCCACGACAGGGAGGAGGGCCAGGTCTCTCCAAGGAGACCGGGGCTGCCATGTGTGCAGCTTTGTGTGGATTTCCATTTTCAAAAATAAACCACAGAAGAAACAGCAATAGGAAAAAGTCCACTGGGCAGTCAGGCATTTTCCTTTGTTTCACGTGACTGAACACTAAATCCAGCCTCCTCGTTACAAATCCCGTGGCCCCCTGGGCATTAAGGCCTGTGAAGCTTATTGCAGTTTRTTGTTACTACTGCAACAAGAGAAGCTGTGGGTGAAAAAAGATGCTCTTGATTCATCGCCCSACAGGATCTTCTCTTCTCCCGTGCGCTGGGCACCCTCCGGGGCAGCCCCACACGGGGCGACGTCCAGCGCTTCCATATGAGACCTTCACCTGACACACGCAGGCAGGAGGCTTTGTCCCCTTTCCGGGGATGCGGATCCTCGGAGTGGGTCTGCGACCCCTCCCCTCCTCACGGGTGCAGAGAGGATGGAAGTTTGTAGGCGGCCGGGCCYCCTCTCTGGGCAGCTGGTTCTTGGCCGAGCAGGGGGAGCCACCAAGTTCCAGTCGGTCTTTCCTCCTCCATCCCTGCGGGCTCCGGATCATTTTCATGTTCTCCTTTCATGTACAAGTTCAGGTCCAATTTCCCAGGTGCCATACCCAAAGGAAGCACCCAACAGTTGGCAGTTGCTTTTGCTGAAGCTACATTAACTACTGCTTCACTAAACAGGAATCTGCTATTTTTTAGTTCTGACATTCACAATTCTCCTCCTTTTGACATCTAAATTCCATAAATACGTTGTTTACTCCCTCTTCTGGGCTATTAATGAAAAATATTAAGGCAGATCAAGCCGAACATGCTCACACACGTGCAGCATCTAAAAGTAGGATTATGCCAATTATGAGTATGATTTAGCAGTGCAGAGGTTACTAATTTAGACAAACGATGCGTTTCTTGCTGAAAACAAGTAAAACCACCAAGAACCTCACCGGGTTTTCTGGAACTCTGCCCCCAGGGACACAGGTGAAAATGCAGCTTCCTGCACCGGCGGATGCAGCCGCAGCCCTGTCCTGGCCAGCACAGCTCTCGGTCACTTCCCTCTCGGGAAGGCGGCCGCCTCCGTAGCGAATCCAGCCGGTGCAGATCGACGTTTGTGCTGCCTGTGCCTGGCACTTCCACTAGTTAACAATTGGTTTACAACACAACAGTAAAATCTCCCTTTATTACAAATAAACAGAGCACTCGCACCTTACAGTGTTTTGTTTAGATGCAGGATTATATCCAGTCAATGAGGAGCTACAATTAATGGGAAAACCATGTGCATTTGATGTTTTCACACTGTTTATTTTCCAAGCAGAGTTAATAATAGTTTTAGATATTGCATTTGCTTTGTTAAAACATGGAACTATYTATGTACATTGTTTGCAGTTTTAGAATACAGACCACTGAGTTACCACTGGTACAATAACAACATGTATGAAAAACAAAACAAGATTYTTGACCGCCCACCCCCCAGCTTGCTTTAGAAGCTGCACTAATAGCAGAGAAGTCTCAAACATCAGAAGAGTCRGAGCAGAAAACAAACTCTGCTCCTTCTAATAACTGTCTTTAGCTGCTTTGATTGGTTGCAGTTAGTATTAATAGTATAACCTTTAAAAATCGTGGGAAAGCTAATACTTTATCTTCACTCCTCATATTAGGCGCCACAGCAAGCTTAATGAGAGCCCATTATAAGCTCACGCTGCCAAACAGTACCTTAGCTCATGATTCGGCCTCCATGAGCACAGGAGCGGTCGCTCCCACCGCAGGAGCTTCCCTGCCCGCTTCCCAGCGGGAATAAAACTATCCTCCCACCCGCGCATGGGCGCTCGTGGCAGGAACGGAGGGGTTTGTGCCGGGCATCGCAGGAGGCTCCGGCCCGGCCAGGCTCCGGGGGACAAGGCCAGGACGGGGCCCACAGCGGCTCCGGCGCCGCTCACCAGCTGCGGAACAGGAAACTCACCCAACGACCCACAGACACAAATCATCAGTACCAGCATTTATAAATGACATCTTTAAGACTATTAACATATAAAACATCATAATCTTTATGAAAATAGACCATTTCCAGCACAACTTGCCTTTTKGGGGAAGGGAGGAGGATGCACACACATACATATATTTTTTAAAAGACAAGTGTTCTCCTGGACAGCTGCCAATAATCTAGTGTAAAATGTCCTTAAAGCAAGACAAACTCCTCTGTACTAAATTTTTTTAATCTTTTCTTTTCATCCTCTGAGAAAAGGTCATTTTCTTCATGGAGTGGACTGGAAGCAAAGTCATAGTCTCTGGAATGACCCTTTACAAAGGTAAACAAGGGATATTTCTCCTTAGATGAAGATTTCAGCATCTATAACATAAAACACAGCAGATAAAAAGAAATGAATACAGAGCAGCTGATAATGACCTACTTAGTGACTGAAAAATGAAGAATGCAAAATGCATTTTTAAATTATCGTTATTGCCATATTAACAAACAAAAGCATCGCAGTACCCAAACACTCCCTCCTCCTCTTAAACACTTRTTTCTATTTCATCTTCAGAGAGTCAACAGCTTCGTACCCAAATGAGGGCCTAACTGTGCACCTTGTTCCCYACCCAGCATCAGCCCTGGGTGCAGACAGGTCAGGTGTTTGTCTTGATCTAGAGGGAAAACTCTGCAAAACCCTTAATGGCCTGCTGGATCACAAGGCAGGAATTCTGGAGGCAACTCGGGGAGATTTTTTATTGTAGAAACAGCATGTACAATGTACAAAAATGAGTGTTTGTGCTAGGTAGGTACATTTACAAACAAGTCCATCAGGAGCACCTCACTAACAGGTGAGGTAGTGGGGGTGCCAGAACMTACATTTTCGAAAAAAAATAACCGAGTCTGCTGGAGAAAGGAGAAAATCAGAAAAATACTTTTAATAGCMGATGATATTCATCAAAATACTGCGTGGCATTCAGCCTTTCAGGCGGTAAAGCTCTGGAATGTCCATTGCTTTTCACATTTCTTTCTTTAAAAAAAAAAACCAAGGAAGTTSAAAATACAGTGACACACCAAGATACAGAACTAGGTGAGTATTCAGGCACATATTATGTGGGACTAAAACTCTAAAAACAGTTCTAATGACAATCCAGAATATTAAAAGATAAATATTGAAGACTAAGAGCTACTAGCAATAAACAAATTGGAACCGGAGAAGTCGCACAGTGAATCAGCTTCTCTGATTGTTACTGTGCAATTTCCCACCTTGTTCTAGGCTGTTTTAACTGCCTTCTCCTCCTGTACCGCGTGACCTGGCGGAGGGCGAGGAGGTTCAGAAGAGACACGGGGACAGGAACGAGCAGGAGCTCAGTGAAAGCRCCAGTATTTCCTGAGTATTTGCAGAGGAACGAAAGTCTGACAAGCAGCAAAGCACCGGTCAATGTTCCCAGCAYGGGCTGCCGGGCCTGTGCTCTGCAGGAGCAGATTCCTGCCCACGCAGAGGTTCTCTGAGCTGTGGCCCTTGCGCAGCTCCTAGCAGCAGCGTGGGCAGCTCGGCCCTCCCACTGCGCCGGGGCGGCCCGCGTGCGTGAYGGGCTGGCAGACACCTCAGCCCCCAGCGGGGCTGAAACGCGTGACGGGGGCAGACCCGTGTGCCCACCGCCAGGGCTGGATTCCCCTTGCTCCCTAGGGCACCAGAGCCACGCTCTSTGCTGAGGGAAGGGCTGAAGGAGCAGGGACAGGCTGGGAACTGGACAGAYGGACAAAAGCCTCAACAAAAAGCAAGTGGAACTTCAGGTTATAAAGCTGCATCTCACCTTGATTACAGACAAATTCCAGGCATTAAGCACTTGCATATTTATAAAATTMTATAGTTTTGTATGTGCATATAAAAATCAGATATTTTGAATTTGATARTATCAATGGAAAATGAAGAATATAGATCTACTGCATTTATGCTATAGCTAAAGCCACCTTAGGTCAAGCTGGACAGTGGAGGCTGGAGAAACACGTGGCCAATCTCGGTTCCTGGGCAATAACTGAGCACAGGACCCTCTGCTGCCCAATGGGAGCCGTGATTGCGATTCCCTGCGCAACAGGGACTCTGGACCTAGATCTCCTTCCACCTGCAAGTTCTTTAGATGTCACAGTGATGATTTCGACAGAGAAGTTCACTGGTAAATATGGGTTCGTGCAGTAGCTCGGGGTTACACTCACAAATGCCACTGGCACCACTGCACTAGGGAGCTCTTTGTGCTGCAGCTCCGCACCCAAGCTGAGCACTCACATGGTCCGGTTTTCCCAGGAACTTTTCATTTCCATTAAGAAGCTGGACTATCAACAGGCAAAAAGTTAATTATTTATTTTGAGCCCTGGTTTGACATGGAACCAGCCTGCAACAGCTCTGCAASCCCCGGGCTCCTCACCCTGCTCGGGGCAGCGCTGCGGGGAGGAAAGGAGATGCTGCTTCGCTCTGCACCTGTTCCCAGGCCTCCTAAATCTAACAGCTATTTAACTCTGGCTAATATCAGCTACTTAATAATTAGCTACCTGAGTAGCAAGCAGAGCAACAGAAGGCATCTTGAGTGTGATTTGGATGGGTTCTCACTAAGCGTTTCCATTTGGGTCCTTGATTTCTATGCCCTGATTTCTCTTTCACTGAATATATGGCTCATACAGGGTTTATCCTCAAATAATAAAAGCTAAATAAATCTTTTCTCCAACCTCTTATTACCCATAAAAGAAGCAAGGATCTGAATTTGTTAGTGTAGGGTATGCAGTTCCCACGGAGTGCACTGTGCTGCCGGCACAGGAACTGCAGCAGCCAGGCTGCGAGCAGGGGGAAAAACAAGCAGAAGGGCAGGAAAAACAAAGGATGCCAAGAAGAGAGGGATGGATCACAGAGTCACTCACAGGTCTGTGTGCAAACCTTCCTCTATTTTGTTACTTGTCTCTCCAATACATTAATATTAAACTAATGTCACTAATAAAAGAGCTTTTATCCAAAAAGCTAGAAAATAGCTCCGAGACTTAAATCAATTGCTGTTTTCATAATACATGCTCAGGGAGGAAAAAAAAATTGTTTCTTTTTGAATTTGGAAAAAAAAGTGTAGGAGAACTTCCAATATCCCTGTTTTTGTAATCCAGCTTTTTTTACCAAGTTCGTAAAATCTCTCATGCATGAGAGAACAGAAAAACATGGAAAAAACCTTCAATATTTATGCCTTCTATATATGCATATTGCTGAGGAACAAGTTGTAGTTCTCTATGAATCAGACAAAATACCTTCAGCATCAGTCACACCTACTAAAGTTTACATGTATGAACTTCATTAAAATGATTATTAAGACTGAATATGGTTTCAAACGCTGGGTTTGCTATAATACTAATATCACTTAAAAAGATACTCAAGGTATTGTACAAATATTAATTCTTTCTTCTCCTGTGTAACTACTGTGGTTGGACTATTAATATGGTGACCATCTCCTGCTGAATCCATTCATAGGCAGTTTTAAAAATTTCACAATGTTATTCATTATCACAGTTACTGCAAAATTAATAACGTCATATTGCCAACACAGGGGAAAAAATGGTGATTACATTTGGACCTAACTAAACCCATGTCCGTGTGTTTCAAGTGGAAGGGACGTGGCCAGACTGACTGACCGATACCTGCTGTTTCAACTCGAAAACACTGTGAGCAAGCGCCAGCCCGCTGCTCTGCATGAAGCACAAGCAGAAACGGCTCTAACGCTAACAAATAACATACAATTTTAGCTGGATCAGATGCTTCCCTGTGGAAAGGGGATCCCTCCCCAGGGATTCGGGGCCTCTCTGCCATCCCAGCCGTGCGCGGGGCAGCGGCCCCATTCCCACTTCACGAGTGCCACCTCGTGGAAGCGCCCCGGCCACCTCCGCTCCCGCCCGCTTTGTTTCCGCTCCCTCCGGGCTCTCCAGAAGCGACTGTCGCCAGCAACAGCTCAGGGTCTCTCTGGCTTTTACATATTGGCATTAAAGAGAGCTAATGAAAAATAATCTACGTTTCTCACCGTTAATAAAGCAGCAATAAATATCCAGGAAAAGATGACTGCCAATTAGGGCAGTGCTGCCAATTCCCTCCCCTTTCCCATGCACGACGCTCCCGACCACGGAGACGATTCCGGAACTGAGCACCTACCTTTGTGATCTCTTCCGAAACCTTCTCAAAGTCCTGCACGTTTCTACAATAAAATCCTATCGTACAGCTCGGATCCATTTTTTTGAACGACATCTTTTTGGGAGAAGGACAGTGGAATGACTGCAGGTTTCAAAATTAAACAACATGAAACACACTGTTAAGGTTGGGAACGCTACAGCTCAAAGCAGTTTCCTATCAAGCAGCTTCAACACACAGCATCCCGTGTTACTTACACTGAACGGCAGCACAGACTTTTGAAGTTATTTCTTCCTACCCCCAGGCACATCCAGGTAACTCCCCTGTGCCCCGCGCCGGAGCTGCCGCCACTCACGCCGTATTCACCAAACTTGCACCCGGCCGCATATTAGTTTGAGGTCTGTGAGGGCTCTGCGGCACCAAACGCGACTTTATGAATATTCCCAAGGCAGAGGAGGTGGATGCTCCTCTGCAAATTGAATTTGTAACTGCTTTTGCACTATCTTACAATTACAGCTTTACTACTGCCGCCCATTGCCCCCTTCCCTCCCCCTGCCTCCATAAAAGAGACATAATGGAATAAACCAACCTCATGTATTTTTCCTTAGCGAATGAAGCGGGGGGAGGGAAGCCCACGAACCACCAAAGCCAAGGGCCCTTACACAAAAGCAAAAGTATCACAATGGCCCCTGGGTGGGAAGGGCAGCACCCCCTGCTTAGAAATGCTTTTTCCTAATGTGGGATTTCTTATCCCGGCAGATGAGGCTTTGGCAGAGCTGGGAACTGCTGTTATCCTGTTATCACCCTGTAAAAAACAAACCAACCAAACGGCACCCAGCCCTGCGCCCAGCACTCGGGCCCTGGGACAGTGCTCAATACCTGCTCCTTATCCTGGCTCTGCTCCTTGYTCCTTTCCTGCCCTCCTGGGTGCAGAGGAGGGCTGCAGCTTTGCTGAAGCTCCTCAGCTAACACCCGAACTCTTTGGTCGCTGCTGCCATCCGGGTTCAAGCCAGTAGCCCGGATGGGGGTGTCCTCAGCCTGCTAGTGAGCGCAGCTCCCCAGTCACTTAATCTCTAGCAGCTCACTAGCAACCCCGCTCCTCTGCRCCGCCTGCAACGCCCGCTCACGCGGCACAGCCGCGACGGCTCGGGCACCGCTGCGCTAAAACATGAAATTTGGTTCTCATGAACGTCCCCAGCTCCAGGGCTGGGTGCTCACTAGGGAATATTGCGTGCGCTCTCCTCTCCAGCGCGAGCACAGGCTGCATAGCTCACGGCTGTCCTGGCCAGCGCAGGCAGACACCGGCTGTGCACGTTCCAGCCTGGAGTCTCCGGGCACAACAGGACAYAGCACCACAGTGTTTCCTCTAGAAGAAGTATCCGAAAACCCCCAACTCCTGATAGTCAATGAAACGCAGTCTTTAGAATAGAAATCCATTCACCGTTCTGATTTTTCTCTTGCCTCTCAGGCAGGTCAGTCTACAAAAGATGACAGCACCACTTACCTCACCTGAGAGTATTTGTCAGTCTTACATATTGAAGTATTTTGCTTTTTAGGTATGATCACTAACCTAATGGAGGCGTTTCTACTACACCTCCAATAAAAAACAATACGCAAAGAAATACTATTTATAAAGACTACTTTTGTTTATCATTTTTCTTCTAATGCTGTTCACGTGCTATATGCAGAACTTCAGCTGAATTCCCTGCCACGAACGGGAACGCTGCCTCGCGCAGCGCGTTTCAGCAGCAACGGCCGGTGCCCAGCGCTGTGCAGAGCTCAGGGCAGCCGCCTCCGAGCCACATGAATCACTGCGCAGCACAGAACTGGGGAGGCATTTCCTTTTTTTTTTTTTCCACTCCTCTAAACAAATGGATTCTGGAAACCAATAGAGAGTGGATTGATTTCCAACTTATTCTGGACAATTTGTCAATTTTGAAAATACTCCCTACAGATAAATCTAACAAGCCACTATCCACACTAAGAAAGCAATTTCTGTTTACTTTTGACATTTCAGGACAAAGATATAATGCTATTAAATGAACTAAGCATTAAACTGCAATATATTTTCCATCTGCAGAAAAGCATTAGGATGCGATCAAGCCAAGCTGTCAGTTCGCATGCCTTCAAAACACATTTTAAAACMTTACTATTATTTGCAAATTCATATTAATGCCAGCCTGCAGCACGAWCTGGAGGATTAGTCATAGGAACAGAAACAGAAAAATAYGTATTTTTTCTGGCCTGGCCACTGGGCTACAGTGTGACCTTAAAGTCACTTCAGCTCTGCMACTCTGATGTCTCCATCTTTGGTCAGGATTGCTCAATTAAACCTCAAGAATCCTCAGAGAGTTGCCCTATATTTTACTATGAGGGGCAGGAGTCTGGGTTAAATCCCCCAATGCTGCCATGGTGCAAAGCAGCAGAGTGGAGACTCCCACCAACTCTCCTTCCAAAGGTCTTAATAGTATAAAAGCTAAAATGAKCTCAAAAACGTGTCTACAGAACCTCTGACTTCCACATGTCATTTTAATTAAAGCATCCTTTAAATGTAAATACTGATAAATACATAACGTTTGCTTTAGGTCAGCCCTAGCTTTTAACATTAGCCCATCATAATCCCTTTGACATACATAAGGTGTTTTCATAAATACTGTTTCATAGCATTTTCATTAAGGTATTGTGATGGACTTTAATGTATCGCCCTTCTGAAATGGTAACAGAAGGTTTTTCACAACAGACAAGAAAATTGAAGTTAAGTCTCTCAGTTYAAGGTAGATGCAAACTGTCACACAAAAGAGCTGCCACACAACTCTGACTCTACTACAAATTGTTTGATTTACATTCTAAGCATAACCAATCAATTTAAGATCACCTACTCAATTTCCAATACATGAGACAAAGAACTGCATTCATCATCTTAAAATGCACTGATCTTAAATTTCACTTCCACTTTTTACAGGTCTTAAAGGTTTTCAGTAAAGAAACCTACTTTAAGTAATTAGTATTTCAGGACTAGGAGATAAACACCTATTCCTTCTCCTCCTTTAAAGGCAGTATGTTTTTCTGCAGCCATGTTCGAACATTTAGGAGTACTTAAGTGTTTGCAGAGGTCAGTGGCACAAGGAGCTGCGTGTGCCAGGCCAGCTGGTGCCATCCCCAGCAGCTGATGCACCCAGTGAGTGTTTGGCACTTACTGAACTGCTGCTCTGAGGAGCCTTCACGCAGAAGCGGCCACACCACCATCAAGCAGAGGTGGTTCAGATTGCAGCAAAATTAAAAAAGAACAAACCCCACACCTATATTTTCAGACCTGTCAGGTTTTCTGGAAACTATTAATACACAGAAGTAGCTAGATTAAAAATAATAGGGCTTATTACAAGAAATAGTTCAGAAAAATAAAATTTATATAGTCAACCACTAACTGACTGCTAAGCTTCAGAAATTTCACCTGTATGAAGCTGAACAAAGTGACCTTCAAAGTTTAACTACATTTAAAATGGTAATCAGCTTCTCCAGTGGAGAAATACGGAAAATATCTTAATAAAGAATCAGCGGCTACACCTATAGGAACTGTGGTTCAAAACTGACAACAGGCTCCTACTGTGGAATAGTACAGTAATTCTCTGATTGATGTTCACTGTAACTTGAAATAAATTAATAAACTGACCCAAAACAAACGTAAGTATTTCACATTTAGATCTCTAAATAGTATCTAGTCTCTTTAATAAAGTGATCATCTATCTTTGAGGTTTTTCGGATTTTTAAGAAGAAGCAGACAAAGATAAATGAAGTAATAATTATAACAAGGTATCAAGTATTTAACCTCTGGTCATTTTTGTTGCTTATAAGCTTACAGAGAAGGGCAGAACTTCGATAAATAACATGTAACTCTAAAACCATAAAGATGCAGCTAGCCAGAACGTCTCTAAATAATTAGTGTTTGATTCATATGGGAAGAAAACAGTGCCAGGTCTATATCCATACTACCTCAAGAGGGAAATCCTTTATGCTGACATCTACAAAAGATTGGCAGTAATGAGGATCCATGTAAATCAAACTGTCATCTACAAGGACAAAACAGAAGACAAGTAATTCAAAAAACACCTTATTATTACACTGCTTACAATCCAATTTCTATGCAGAACAGCTTTAAAAAAAAAAAGCCAGCAAGTAACTGCTTGCCAGGCTGATATTCATTGACTGAAGCATAGGTTTTTGCAGGACAGATTAACTTTTGCATAATCAAATATGCTTGTATAAGCAGAATTTTTATAAAGTGATGAGACTGTCATTTAATTTTTGGTGATAAAATTACTTTTACAAACACACAATTATATTCTGGAGTTTGCATATGAAAAATGTATTGTTCTACTTCATCCTGACAGGAAGAATATATTGCTTGTCATTTAAGCATCAACTAACACCACTTAAAGTAGCAAAAAGTAAATAYGTAAATAAGAACTGCCAGACAGTAACAGCAAAGGCTCCTGAAGTTTGCTGAAACAGATAAATTATGCCTTGTTTATGCAACAAAGGAAATTAAATGTACATTTTACAGAATCCAATTACTAGAGGAGATAAATGACAAATGACTGGACTTTAGTGGATAGGATGAATTAATAAGGTACTCATTTTGCTATTTTAATCATGCTATTTCCCACTGGTCTTGTATTAACTTCCTAACTCTAAAAGAATAATATTGAAGAGACATAACATATTAAAACACTAACCTTGAAATCCAGCAAAGTAATATGACTGCTTGGGTTTGCCACCGATGATACCAACACAATACTCAAGGCTTAAGATTCCCTAAAAACAGAACAATGAAGAATTACAACAGGGTCAAACAGAACAGTGCACTAAACCAAATCAAATTGTTTGCTCTGCCAATACTGTTTGTGTTAAATCATTTTGTTTCTATTTACTTTCTTTTTTCTTTTTAAGTCTAGCTTAAAAATTTATTGAAATCCAACACAGTTTTTCAGTATTTAATGCTTCAAACATTTAATACCCTCATCCTAAGAGCAGAAGACAAGCTGGTAATCTCATACAGACTTAGCGTGTATAGGCTGCACAGAGTACATTGAAGTATCCAGATCTACAGAGCTCATATACATAGAGATTTTGTGGTCTTGAAATCTTTCTTCTTTCTGCACTCAAAGGTGAAATCTGACTGAACCAGAGGGTAGACTTGTGCACATCACAGGCAGAAAAGCCAGCTAAAGCAGCAGTAACTGTAGGAATCAGCCTCCCCCAAAGCAGCCCAAAATACAGGGGCAAGGAAACAACAGACAAGCCTTCAATCTTGCTGCATTTTGATCACAAGAGAGAGGAACCAGAGCAGTCATATGTAACAATTTTGAGAAACACACATTACGAATGTACTTAAAGGGATTTATGGAGGGAGGCAGGGCAAAATGCAGAAACTGTTTTGGTCTGGAGGTGTAAAAGAACAAAGATAGCCCCTGTTGACTAGCAGCCCCTGGACAGGACGGCAGCCCTGGAGCCCTGTCCCACCACAATGTTGCGAGCTCCGTTCTGGCGTCAGGCGATAAAGAGCTGGGATCTGTACTCAGCATAACTCTGCTAGCACACAAACCTAGCACACGCAATCATATAACAAAACTGTAATTTTACAGTTACACATTCTAAGGAGCTGCACATACACAGCTTTGCTGCAGGAGGAACATTTTACTAGTGTAACTGTCTCGAATTCCTCCATGCTCTGGATGGAGTCACAGACTCCACTATRTCCAATCTCAATGGTAGTGACTCTAACACTGCTGCACTGATCTCTCCGTGACAGCTCCAAGGGAAAAAACACAATCACCCAAAGGAGCAAGGGGCTCCTGATTAAACCTGCCTCCATGCCAAAGAAAAACCACCAGAAATACAACTGCCACAAACTGGATGTGCGTGTGCTCCAACCCAGAGCCTTGTCCTACACAAAGCGCCCGGGCGCCGGCTGCCCRTATGGGCAGAGGACGCAGCTAGGTGGTCAGTTCATACTTCACACATTACAGGGGGCAGCTCGTTTCACAGCTACCTATGCCACGCTCTTGGCGCATCAGCAACAAGCTACATTTAGAAAGTATTCTTGGCTTTCTTAAAAGGATGAAGGAAAAAAATGGAGATCTACAGGAAGGCTGCAATAGCAGAATTATTCCGAAAACTGTTAAAGCAGTTAAAACTGCTTTCTGGATTCTATGAAACTGGATTCTATGAAAACAGATAAATAATGGGTGCATGGCACACTCATAGGCTTATTTTTTTGTAAATTCCCTTTGATTAAAGAAAGATAATCACCTCACGCTCCATTAGAGGTAGAACTGAAACACCCCAGGTACTTGCCATTAAGAATTATTTTCTTGCCTGGTTATGTGGCCCTGGCTCATCACCTGGGAGTTCATCAGCCTTGTTCCTTTCTGTACTAAAATAAACACTTAAAGGAATATAAGCAGGCAGGGACAGTCTCTCTCCTCTGCTCAATGTACTCTGCKCAAGGCTTCTGTTGCTTAACAGAACTCATCAGGATTTGGGGAGGATTCAGTCTTAGTATAACACAGGCATTCCCATTAGTTATCCCACTGACTCCAGCAGAAGCTGCGGTCTGCCCACACCGAGCACTTCTGAAAACTGAGCCCAAGGGTTCTAACACAAGCCCAAGATCACTAAATACTCTGAAAACTGAACAGCCTTTAAACACTCAAAAATCACAGTGGTTTTCCACTGTGGTGGCTGGGTGGGGTGGTCACTGTGTGCTACTTCTGCCTCACTTCCTTAGAAAGATTCATCCTAATGCCAAATCATGAATTAGCAGYTGAAGTTGCAGTAATGACTAATGGCACCAAAAAATTCCATGCCCCTTTCTTAAGGGGAAGTAAAAGACAAAAGAAAAAGATAAGCACAGTCAAGCAACAATCTTAACCATGTGACATTTAAAAAAGAAAGAAACAGAATAAGGATTTGTGTATATATGTGTTTTAAAATGATGAAAAATACTTAATATAGCACAACTCTAACAGCATATGTAACTAAATTACCATTTGTAATTTGAGCCACTTCATTAATGTCTTCACAGATACCTGCTTTAGGAGAACAGTTATCACTGCTTTACCAAGGGACATCATGTGCTCTGCAATTACGTCTGATCTTGTAATAGGGAAATTTCAAATCTGTAAAGTCAAACTTTACAACCTTCAACTGTAAAATCATCACCACACATTTAATAGGGAGAAGATTACCATCATGAAGTCACTTTTCATATCACCTATTTCTACTATTTGAAAAATGATCTCATTTCATACCTTTACAAACTCTAAATAGTCCATGTTTGTTCTCTCTCCACCAAGTCTCACAGGAACTAATATAATAACAGCTTTTGTATCTGCTTTTTCAGAGTCCATAAAAGAACACTGTCTGTCAATAACATCTGAACTGTAGACTGAAAGACAAATGAAAATATTCTTATTTAAAATATATTTTACAAAGACATACCTACAAAATTACATTGCTTCATTTGACAAACTAAAACTGCAGTCCTGTGAAAATATTACTGTCCTCCTGAAATACAACTCCTAAACTATGATGATAAAAGATAAGATTACGTTTTCTTATTTTCTGCAGTATTTTCAAGAACGTTAATATGCTGCTGCTACTTAGTTTCAACAGACAGGACACTGCCAGGAATATACAAAAAGGGTAGGTTAACAAAAAACCAAAGAGAACCCAAGCCTCTAAAATGTTCTGTTATTATTTAAAATGCCATGCTGGAGCAGAAGAGAAGCTCCCAGAGATGCTGGGTCACTATCCTGCTTGCACCTTTGAGCTTAAAGTCAAACTCACTTCTTAACAGTCTATGAGACTGGTGAAATACTTTCTTTCCCTTGGATAAATACGGGTTAAGAATGCTGTGATGCAAAACAGCACTGTTGAAATGTTTAAAGTGTAAATAACAAATCTACTTTAATAACTGAAATAAAGTATTTTTCAGTTGTTTGGGTTTAATAGGCAGACAGTAGTAAAAAGTTATCTTGATGGGGTTTCAATGCCATTATCTTAATAAGATAATGAAACAAGAAATGTATCAAGCTTACAGGATGTCCAATTCTTAATGAAAAGACCAAAAGATAGAGATATAATCAAGAAATCCTTTGTACAACATCCGAATTTTGTAGAGTCACTTGTGAATTTGATGTTTTTCATGTAGAGATCTTTTTTATTACTGCTTACTGAAAGACATAAAAAGATCTAAAATGTTTTTCAAAATCTGTATAGTCACAACATTTACCTGTACAATCCTGAGCAACATAAACTGTTACTCCTTGTAGCTCAGGGTCTCTTGCTTCTTCAACAGCTTTTCTAAGTACAAAGATAAAACTATTTAATTCATCTCCGATTTTTAAGAAATTAGCATTAAGCAAATGAAAATTACTTATAATTTTTATAAGCCGCTTATTTCTGTTAACACATAAATAATGCTAACCTGTCACATTACTGCATGGGTTTGCAGGTATGCACCCAAAAATAACAGAATGTTTCAGTATAGGTTCATATATCATGGGTATACTTGTATACTAAATACCAATTATTCTACCTACATACATACAGATATACATATGAACTTTCACTTCTGCTGCTTAGGTGACTTATTAGAGATGCAGTTTATAGATAAACTGGAATATACTATAGCATAAGTCTGTAAAGAAAACCCTGTAATATTCAAAGAAATGGCATATAAAGGTATATACTATGGAGAAATTTGACYTTCGACTTTTTTTAAACCACAGTGAATGTCACAGACCCTTTACTTTTACTATGGTATAATTATAATATTAATAGTCCCATACATTTACAGTTTCACAAGAATTTGATGTGTGCAAAGAAATGCTGAAAACATCAATTTTAGCTTTGACATTTCATTACACTATCGGTACATTATAGCCCCCAGGTTACAGTATTATAAAAAGAAAAAAAAAATCTATAATATTATGCACATTCCAAGGTTGAAAGAGTGGTTAGTTTTTAGAATGTTTCATTAAATGCAGGTCTACTTAAAAGCCCAGTTTGGGAAAAGATCTTGGGTCTTCTACTGTTCAAAGTACAGGAAAATAGAATGCTTTTTTTTCCCCCGAAGATTGAGCAAAGGTTCCGAGTTCCGTTCCTGCACCTACTGCTGTCTCTTCTTGTCTCTGAAATTGCTCTAAAATTACTATCAGTTCAGCAATTTTGCAAAGCCAATAACAAATGGTTAGGTGTTCAATTAAACTGAAGCAATTTCATGAGACTTTGAATGCATCTCCTGTAATGTGTAAGGCACCGTAACAACAACAAATAAAAAACAAATGAAATATATTTTTACCTTAAAATATGTGCAACAACTGCAGGTCCATACCAATCTCCAGCAGTTTTCCCAGATTTCTTTCCATATTCTATTAGCTGATGTAAGCCAAAAGCTGCCAGCGGAGAGTCACCAAACCAAGAAATTATTTTTCTGTGATAAACTTCATTTCTCATTTCTCTGTCACCACAGTTTCTCTTTAATGTTCCTTTATGATGGTTTGACAAGATCTTGGGTTCTCTTTCTGCTGTAAGTGATGCTTCAAATGATGCAGTCAGCTTTTTCACAGTATGGGTTGTCCACGATTCAGAGTCTGAATTTTCAATGTCCAACGCATCTGGCCATATCCAGGCTGCAGCAAGAAATTTTAAAGATGCATGTTAGGCTTACCAATAACTTTTTGATACGATTAGCAAAGCATATCTATTTCATTGCATCAATAATATGTGCTTTACATAGATGCAAATCCCAGTAATAATAATGTCTAAATAAAGATCATTTATCCCACTGCAATACGGTTTGCTTTTGTTTTCTGTAGTGTGATAGTAGAAAATAAATATTAGTAATAATAGTCTTCATTAATAATTTATCCTGAGATACTAGATCTGACTTCAAGATTCCAAACAGTAAAGATATTCAAGATACACCCGATTGCAAGACGCAGACTAGAAGCATTGTAAATATTAAACTCACAAAAAAAAAAAGCTTTTTAGCTGGTAGATTTATCTAAGTCAAATAATAACTTTCAATGGCTGCTTTTATTATTCTGGTTTGTTAGTTATTTAATACAAAAAACACAAATGGGGGAAACATTCATGTAAAAATAAGCACTTCTTCCTAGAAAAATTTAGAAGAGTAAAAGCAGGTCAGCAGAAAAATACACATCATTTCTTTACTTCCTACACTTGTGAATTCTTAGGCTTTACCTAGACTACAAGACATACTTGAAAAAAAATTTTTTTGGCCTGGTATCTACAGTCTGCTTTGCTGGCAATAGGTTTCCCTAACAGTACCCCATACATGCTGGGCTCCTGCTAACAGCGCAAAGGCAGTTCAGTGTATCCCGGAGAAGAGGAATGCTTCCCTTGCCAGATGACAGAAAGCCTCTCCACAACTCTGAATAGCTCCTTGCAAGGCAGAGCATGTGAGGAAATCCCCAACACACTGCAACTCATCCTACAGGTCTATAATGGGCATCCCAGAGCACCCAGGGAAGGCTGATAAAGAACACACCCCAAGGATGAGGTGTTTTTGCCCAGCGAGGCACGTTTCCACACGCTGCTGGTGGTTCAGCTAGTTGCCCTTACGGTAGCAAGAGGAAAGTGTTCAGAACAGATACTGACAGAGCAGCAGCTGCAACCCTCCCTGCAATTCCTGCTCCAGTGTCCAAGCAAAAGTCTTCAATGGAAATAACAGGGAGGCACAGAGGTAGCAGCATTTTAATTCTAAAAATCTAACTTATGGCTCCAGTAATATCAAAGGTGCTGCTAGAGGTGGCCCTGATCCATTTTCCCCAGTACTGATACTTGCTGCAGAAGAGCAGGAGCTCTAGGCAGATGAACCATGGGCTTCACTGTCCCTGCACTGTGAATAGGAAACTTACATCCACATTTTCAGCACAGTAAAACTTGCTAGTGCCTTAATATTTAAAATACCTACTTACATCATCACTCTGCAATATCTGGAATATTCCACATGGTAGTGGAACTGTAAGTATTCTAGCTGGTAAATGTAGCCAAATTTTGCTTTGTAACAGAAGCAATACCATTAAACTATAATGAAAACATCTCTGGGAAAACAGTAAGGAACAATGAAAAAATTTGTGTAAACACTTAAATATGTTTAAGTTGTTATCCAAATCTCATGAAGAGCTTTTCAAAAAAACTTTACCAGCTGTCAGAATACCAGATGATGAGAAAAGTAATCCAGAAAAACTATATATATTCCATTTTTCCACACATTTGGATTCCCATAGAAATACTAGCACTCTGGAATCACCAAATCACTTTCCAAATTAGGATGCATGGGGGACAGCGCAAGAAATTCTTTTAAACCATATAGTTTAAAGAAACAAACTTGGGACCTTCTTATCTTGGATTACTTTAAAATGAGTCATTACGCATTCCTATGTATTCCTAATCAGACTTAAAAAAAAAAGAAAATTAACATATTTATAACAACAGTTCTCTTTAAAGATTTGTTCTCTCAGCAGAAGTTCTTTTTTCTTTTTTTTTTGTATATTTTGGTACTTGAAATTAGGTGAGAAGAATAATGTAGCTATTCAAGTCATAAAACGTAACAACAAAAAGAATATTCAATAAGCCAGTTTGACAGTTCAGCCATGCCAGCGCCAAGAAAGAAGATGCTGTGATGCAGCTGGTTTGGGACTATGCTCAAGCTTACATCACATTCACRCAGTCAGTGCAAAGTACTGTGCAAATTGGTTCTGAAAACAGGCTTTCAGAACCAATTGCTGCCAACGTGTCCCRGGGGGCCACCAAAGGCCTAAGTAAACAATACACTGTATTCTGTCCAGCTGCACTCCAGGGTGGCATCAGGCCCACAGCCTGGAACACCTTCCACAAAAGGCCATGGTGACAGAGGGAACGAATGAACGTCTGAAAGGAGGAATGTGGCATGTTTTGAAAGTGATGATGGAGGAGGATGAACAGAAAAGGTGGTTAACTTAGAGAACCAGAGAGCTCTGCAGGACATGACTCAGGCTTGGAAGGCCGAAAAGGACACACATGTCCAGCCTCTGAAAGCAGAAAGTGTTCCAACCCTCTTAAAAGCAACTCCTTTGGAGTGACYGCAAGGTTATTTTCAGATAGACGACGATCTTAAAAGAAAAAAAAAAGTTCCTTTGTAAGTGTATGGGGTGGAAGTAGAGTGAGAAGGGAGGAAATGAACTAGCRAAAATTTCAACACAAAGAATGATATATTGAAGTCAGATTAGAATTCTTCTATTAACTCAATATATTAATACAAGAAGAAACTGAATAATGTACAGCCTTAAAACTGGTAAGAGAACATCACTTCTGCCATAGCCCTTAGCTACAGACCGTGAAACTCATTTCTACTTCTTCAACAAACTAGCAAGATTCAAGAGAATTGGACATTTACATGAATAAGAGGAATACTTAAGCAAAGGCATCACAATTGTTTTTTTTTACTTCAAAATTAACTTCTCTGGCGTTTCCAGTATCTTTCATTGCCACATCTTGATATTCCGTTTTTCAGAAATGGACCAGTAGATTAGCTAGGTCACTGGTCTGATGTAACAAATTCAAGATTAATGAGAAAAAAAAAAATCCAGAACCAGCCTGCCCTTTACATTCTGGGATACATGAACCAAGACTGCTACACTCTACAAATCACCTGTTCTTATCATGCCACTTATGGACATCTTCATCGTGTAACTTACCTCTACCCAGAAAATGAAGCATAAGACCTTGAGCCAACAGCATTTGGCCAGTTCTCAGTGTGCACCCCCAGCCACAGTCTGTCGTTAACGCAGATCCCTTAATCTGAGGAAATTCTTCCCTGTAAGTCAGCCATATTCTAGAAATAAAATCTTTACGAAACTCCTCAACATTTCCCGAAATCTCTGTGTTGATTTGATCAAAACTGGATCCATCTGTAGAAAGCTCACCAGATTCTGTAACAGAGAATACATTGTAAGTTATACCCTGGTRTGTGATGTCTATTATTAGGAGGAAAATGAAAAAAACAAGGTTGAATGCTGGGTTTGCTCTGAATCATACAACATAGGATAGGTTATATTACTGTTGTTGCAAAGTCAAATGAATATTTTGTAGGCTTTTCATGTTTAAACATTCAATTCAGTAATTGCTAATGAAGGTTTAGGGAGGTATTCATAGAGCTCTGCAGAATATGATTGGAATGAGGCAAATGTTATGTACATACCATCAGATTTGAAGTGGTAACATTTTCCTAGCAGAAAGACTGGAGAATTTCTACTAAAGTAAGTTTTTGTTTTCAACACCCAACCTAAAAAAAATACAAAACAAAAACAATCACTCAAGTGAGTGGAACTAGGTTCTTCAGTCAATTTTGTATGGCACGCACCATCTTATTTTTTTGAAGACTAATTACACTAACTCCCCACACAGGTGAGCCCACATTATCTCCATTTAAAAATCTAGCGTCCTCTGTACTTATTTGACAACGTACTTATTTTTAAGACTGTAGCAATTTAAAAGAGAAATAACGCAAATTTATTTGAAAAACARAGTTTAAAGCGTGTGCTTACTTAAGCTGTTTATTGTAATATCAAAGTGAAAACCATTAAGGACTACGCTGCATTTTTTATCACTAATATATTTCAATTATTTTATGACTCACAATCTCATTCTTGTCATTGAGCAAGAAAAGTTCCATTCATTTCAGTGAAGACAGGATTTTATCACACAGCTCACTTACTGTATTTCATGTTGTGCCATGCAGACATAAACTTTGATTTTATCTTTTCTACTTCATCTGTCCCTGTGGCCTCCATATTCAAGTTCTAGAGAAAAAGCCATCGCTGTCTTGTAAGACATTAAATTCTGCTACTGTAAAAACAAAAACATAAACATATCCATGGGCATGGAGAACACAGASCATAACACCACCACAACGCTTCAATATTTAAGCCTAACGTGACCAGGAATAGTAATAAACTTGCAGAATTCTTCACTTCCAGGGAGTAAGAAGCAATCACATGTTCTATGATTATGAAATCAAAACATGTTATTCCAAATCCACATCAATAAAATTAATATACAAAGCTAAATAAAATAAAATGTTCCCTGATGGCGCTCTATTGCACAACAAACTAACCTAGTGCATGAAACCTATGTTGGCATTTGAGTATGCTTATTCTGATTTATAGCGAAATGTTTAGCTGTATTTCATTAAATAGAATAGATAATATTCTTTTACACTGAATGGAATAAAGTATTTTTTTCCTCACATCTGCATTTCTGAACACCAAAAAACAGATCTTGCTTTTAAACTTTTTTTATATTTCTAATCGAGAACTTTCTAAACCAAAGTGTACATAAACTGGAGGGGTTGAAAGACAAAGAGATAGATGTTTTGCTGTACAAGGCAGAAATTAGTTACTCAAAATGTTTTCAGTAACACAGGCATCATTTTGTATAGAATTAACTTGTTGGAGAAATAACATGAGAAATGGATAGAACACTGTCAAGAATGTGTGTTTACAACCTTTCTAATTAGCACTTGTGGAATAAAAAAGGTTTTTCTGATTTGATATTTTCTACAGTAGTCCATATATATTACAGAAATGAGACTGGTATAATAGTGGCAAAAGCAAACGCAGCACAGATTATTTTGTTAAAAAATGCTTACATATTGCTAAAATATGGGCATGTGGAAAAGCACATTCACTCATTCTTTTTGAAATGCAGCACAATATAAACGTCACCTTAAAAGCAGACTACACAGTTTATAATACAGAAAAAAAATATTACCTTTACATATTTGTCCTATTATAAAGAAAAATGAGAAGCTTGTACAGAACTCCCTTTAAAGTTCATCTGTATCACTTAGCAAAAGGAAAAGTCTGCTATCAATTAATATAGCTGCTTTTGCCTTAGTTTCACGTATTCTGTCAATGGTTTACTTGAAAAGAGTGGAACAGGAGATTGCCTGGATGATACTGAGTAGATCAAACCCTTGAACAGATGACTGAAAAATTAAAGAGCTCCTGTTTCATCCAAATAAGCACCATTTGCAGACATCCAAAATTGGTAAACTGAGGTAGATCACTGCAATTTTCACATACTTCTAGTGAAGTACTTACAGTAAGGCACAGAAGGGAACCATCTCACACAATTATCAACTTGGATCAGGAGAACACACCATCACTGATGTGGACCACCTACCCACCTCACTTTAAAAGAAGATTGAGAAAAGCTAGAAACCTGTCTACCTTTTCAGATGTTATTTTCCACCAAATCAGGATCAAAAAATGGAATGGAGATTAATCCATGTTACTTCTTGTTTCCACTGGGAACCTATTTTAAGTAACGAGGGAAAATAACCCAAACCACTGGTAGTGCAGTTGTAATGTTAATAGGTGAAGGGAGAACGAAGATATCACATAGATGTATTATTTCTGGGATCCATACATGGCGTGTGGAAAAATAAAAAGAACACAGTATATTGTCCATGTCTGCCCTAGAGCGTTTTTCTGCTGCTGCACTGTATTACTTGATAAATGTTTCTCAACCTTTTTTTTTTCCACAGAAAAGCCAAATCATTCTCACAAACACAGAAAAWTTTTTTGGCTAATGAAAATAATTAACAGAGGCTACCAATCTGTTGTGATTAGTGTAATGTTGGAAGAAGTAAGAGGAAGACTATTTAAGGTAGAATTTTAATGCATTATTTATTTATTTAAGGGTGATGGAATTGAAGAYTATCCGGACAGGCACCACTGGCACCAGCTGACAAAGCCGTTGATATCAGCTTCTCCAGGAGGTGTGTTTGGTCTAGTTACTCTTCCTACATGGTCTGTCACGGGCAGTCACTTACATGGAGAACAATGACTGCCTTAAAAGCCAATAACGGTAAGAGCTCCTTCTGGCTAAAATTGGGGATGAAACAAACTCTACTGTTTGGGGAAGTGGCTCGCTTTCCTTTCAAGGATGACAGTGAAGCACGTTTTTCTCTTAGCCCTTTGTGTCTGAGTATTATGCTAAAGATGGGGAAAGGGCTTTTAAAAGAAAAACACACAAATGAGGCAAAATCATCCCAACGGGATATATACATAAGTGCACCTATATTAATACTGCTTCTTCCTCCTGTTAGCGAAAGAGCCTCTCCGTAATTGTTTCACTGGGATTAATGGAATGGCACCATCAGGAGCTCACCGCAAACACAGATTACAGCCCAACGGGCACAACACAATCCCTGTTATTAAACCCGAGCCTAATGTCTTTACAGGGAAGCCCTCTTCTTTTGAGGTGACCCAGAACACACATTTCTACCATCAGCCTCCTCCCCACCGCCAAACTAAGCCCTGTCACCTCAGGGCCCAATTGTACCGGGGGTTGACTTGCACCGAGGGGTGCGTTTTTAGCGGTTTTCCTCTCACAAACGGTTAATAATGGAAGAAAAAGTAACTCCAGGGGCCTCGGCGGCAGAAAGCAGGGCCGCTCCCGCCGTTTAACCGCCGCGCGGCAGCCGTTAATTTCCACCGCGTATCCAGGCAACCGGCGGGAGGCTCGAGGGGGTTCCTTCGTCAAACTCCCCCAAGTTCCCGGCCGCGCTCCCCACCCGCCTGAGGCGCCGCCGCGGTGCCCGCGGGCCGCACTTACCGCGCACAGCTCCGCCGCGGAGGAGCCCGCGCCGCCTCACGCGCCCTCTCCCGCCCGGCCKCACCGCACCGCGCCGCGGATCCCTCCGCCAGGGGCCGCCGGCCGCGCGCGGGGCCGCCGCGGGCGCTTTACGCGTCCCCGCTCCCGCCGACGCCTCGTTTTGGCCCTTGGCGGCTGCCGTGAAGGCAGCGGCGGAGCCGAGCGCTACGGACGGCCGCTACAGCCGTTAGTGCCGCTCGCGAGTCGCCGCTTACCGGCTCGGCGTGGCTGGACGCGGAGATGGCCCGCGGAGCGGCCTCCCTGGGGCTTCGGCCATGGGGGCACCAAGGCGGACTACAGCTCCCGRCAGGCCTTGCTGCGGCCGCGCGCGGGCCGCGGTGACGAGCTCGCGCAGGGCCTGATGGGAGTTGTAGTCCGCGTGGCGCAGGCGCCTCAGGCGAGACAGGCGCGGCGCCCTCAGGAAAACCGC